TTTTTATGATTTAAAACACATTGCCGTCTATTTGTCAGATGCTTCAGCTGAATCCATTGATTATTAATGAGTTATTAAACAACATCAAATGCAGAAGATAAAACTACAAGAAGATGCAACAAAACCTAAAACACAAATTAAGACTATTAAAAATCATATATATATATATATATATATGATATATGAATAGTGAATATAACAATATAACATTACCACACTGGGTACGACGCAACAAAGCTTCAACTTTTCCATGAAACACATATATATATATACAGAGAGAGAGATAATACTTAAATACTATTAAATATTTGACAAATACTTGAACCGTATATAAATAATACTAAAATAACAGGAATTTTGGGGGTAATTGTAATATTATGTGTGTATGATATAATAGCAAAAGTAAATTGTAATGGTGGAAATTTCCTAGATAGCTCAATATTGAGCAGGGACCTTTTCTATGAGATAATATAATCTTATTTTTTTAAATTATAAAACATTAAATTTTAATTCTTTATTTTTTGTTTTATTTATGCACTGTTAATTTTTCATCCTAGCAACCTTTTAAATTTGATCATATAATAATAATCATTTAAAATTATTTATACTTTAAATATTTATTCATGAAAATGTATTTAAAAAGTAAAAAAATATGTATTTATTTTTTAATTTCACATCAATATAATATGATAGTTATAAGAGAGTTTGTAAATGGTGGAAATTTCCTAGATAGCTCAATATTGAGCAGGCTAGATATGAGTGTATTTTTGAAGTAAGCAAAAAATGTTCTTTTCTTCCTTTATCATTGTCTCCAGGGCTGCCATAAGCAGAGACCCTTTCTATGAGATGCTTGCTGCCAGGAAGAAGAGAGCCTCATCTCTGAAGAGACAGTAGGGCTGCAGAAAGGATGTTTGTACCTGGACCTGGAAAAGGGACGAATGATACACGGAAACCATAACGCTGGATTGGAGTGATTTTTATCTCAGGAATGACCTGAAGTTTTGAAGGTTAACATGCAGTTGGTTTTCTGAGAAGTTTTCTGACATTTCTGTTTGTTTAATTCTTATGAATGAACATTGAGTACTCACGTACATCGTCATCTCGAATCAGCAGGACTGACTGAATGTGGATCTCATTGACCTTTTGTAAGCTTGCAGCAGACTTGACCGTTCCTCTCTGTGCTTTGATAAGTATAAAATGCTAATTGTGCACCTATTTTTACACTGCTATGTACTGTAAATATCTGGGAGAGTTTTGGCCTCGTTTTGTTTGAGGCTATCTGGCTTTGTTTTTCTATTCGTTTCTGATCTGCTGTCATATTTATGTTTTTTTTTTGTTGTTGTTGGGTAGATATTTTTCACATTTTGCCAAAGTTTGTCTTTCAGTCCCACTCCATACTATCCTAAAAACTGTAGTTGAGTGATTTTCTGATTCATGAAAAGAATTCTATTTTTTTATTTTTATGCTGTTTATTTAGCTTAAACAGTGTTTTATTTAAAATATCAGGACATTATTCACTGATCTCATAGGTGGCCTTGAAAGACTGTGAAATCCAAAAACATTTCAGTACGTTTGGTTCATATTTATGGAACGATGTCAAAAATTAAACTACTGACTGGAGAGTTTATTTTTATGTTTTGTATTTTACCACCTTATTAAAGGGGGTCATAGGATGCTACATGCACTTTTACAAGTAGTTTGAACTGAAATGTGTGTTGGCAGTGTGTGTACACAACCACCCTATAATGATAAAAATCCACCCAGTGTTTTTTTTTTAATCTGGTTAAATGTTTTCCCCTTTCTCAAATCGAGCCGATCTCAGATGCCTGT